CCAGCCATGGGCTTTTGTGGAGCAGGTCCCACATACATTCGGAATGCAGTTAGTTACCCCACAGAAGTTATGCCCCTATTCCCCAGGTGGATCCATTTTGCCTGTCAGGTGAGGGCTGCAGCACACAACATCCAGCACTGGGTAAGACATGGATATCTTTTTGTCACCATAGCCTGCACAGCACCTGCTGGCACTTTGAAAGCTAGCCAGTAGGGAAGAAGTTTCCCAACCAGTTTGAGGTTGATTTCTCTGTCTTATAGCCAAAGTATGCGATGTCTTCAGCAACAGGGTTTTACCATGCAGTTAAAGTGGGTAACCAAGGGCAGTGGATTGTGTTGTTTTTGAGACCTTTGGGGCCTCCCTGACTAGTAACTCAGAGGAAAGTAGCCCATGTTTTGCACTGTGATTTCTCCTGAAAGCAGTATTGCCCACCCATCAAGGTGACCACTCAAACCCAAGTTATATTTTGAAGTTAACTTACTAACATCTTGGATTCCATAAGGCATTTTCATGCTTAGTTTTGGTTAGCTCACCCAGTACTCCTCACCTCCATCCCCACTTGATCCTTTAACTCCCAGTATTCCCCCCTTTCCTTCATATGACATGTATTCTACGATCCCTCCAATTTTGTTTTATTGGGTTGTGAGATAGTAGGCTTCCATGTGGCTTTCTATACACACTTCCTTTGGGTTAGCCTTTCCAATCCTTGGAATTCCCCCATCCTCCCACACTCTTTCCTTCTTAAGGCTTTCCACCCCCAGTATTTCAACTCCCTCAAACAGCAATTTTTAGAATCAAACACTCTGGCACAATAGATCCAAGCAAGCACTACCTTGACACACAACAAAGAATGGCAATAGGAAAATATTTAAAGTCTTTAAATGTTTAAACCATTATGCATATTTTAAGTATTAAGCTGTTGTGTTTGTACATAAAAGCAGAAAACTGTGTATAGCAAAGCACTTCAATTTATAACATACAGTGGTCTTGAATCTGAGCATAAGTGACTCAGGCCACATACATTCGTGTTGTGGAAAGACAGCCTGGGCTATCAAAATACACATGTTGAGTGCTCAGAACCAAGACCAGAAATACCTCCAATTCATTATGAATTTGGTTTTTTAATTCATTTTGGTTGTTGTGTGTTCAGAAACCTTTTACTTCTGACAATTTTTTGTGACCCACCCCCAACAATAAGTGCCATGATGCAGTCAAGTTAAGCTCGGCAGCATGCAGTCTGCTGAACTATGACACTGAACAGCTGGATTCTAGTAAGCGCATGTGGAACCTGCTTTCAACTTATGAAACGTTTATCAGAAGTCACTGCTCAGCAGATCAGACCTCTAGAACGACATAAAATAGATCTGAACCCAAACTCAGCTGAACTCCTACTCCATCTCTTCAGCTTTTTTCCCATCTCTTTCACTCATTCTCCTTGGGGAGAACATGCTAAAAGCTTATTGAGTAGGGAATGGAGGAAATGGGTCCTGTCTCCTCAGGTCAGATGCCTGCTCAGCTAGAATTAGCAACCTTTCTCTGGAAATCTAATATTTCTTTCTGCCACCCACCCCACATCGTCTTTTCCCATCCATCCTCCCCTACACAGTTGAACTAAAGTCCTAAAAAGACACATGGGAATTCTGCACACGTCTGGCTAGAAGTCAGAAACCATGTGGGAATAGTATTCAGGTTGTGCTTACCCGACTAGGGGTGGGGACACATGGAGAAAATGTTTTTTACTCCCCAGGGGTATCAACAGTAATTTATTACAGATAAATGGCTCTTTTTTCTTTTTGTAAAGAGAGCCATGAGGTTCTTTCCCAGTACTTATACAATGACTCTGTGCCTTTAGCAAATGCCCTTAATCAGGACTCTTACATTTAGAAATGAACATTAAAAACTCATCATATTATTCTGAGATCATTGCAAATTTACAGAAAAGTTTCAAGAATAGTACAAAGACTGCCCCCCCACATCCTCACCTGATCACCAACAATGAATATTTTACCACATTACTTTCTAATTCTCTCTCCACCCTGTTCTGTACATTATATATACATTTTTTAATATTTTATTTAATTTTTTATTTTATTTTATGTGTATGCATGTATTGCCTGCATGTAGGTAAGTGCAACCCTGTCGTGCAATGCCCACAGAGGACAGAAGAGGCAGTCAGATCCCCTGAACTGGAGTTACGGACAGTTGTTAGCTGCCTTGTGGGTGTGGGATTCGAACTCGGGTCTTCTGCAAGAACAGTCAGGGTTTTTAACCACTGAGCCATCTCTCCAGCCCCTAAAAGATTCAGTTTCTAAGCAGTCTGTTCACCCTCCCTTCCAACACCTCCCATAGCTCCCTATCACTTTTTTCTTTTTCTTTTTTTTTCCTTCTTTCATTTATTTATTTTTATGGGGCCTTGGGGTGCTCTAACATTCCCCCCTCTGAAGAGGTAATCCTAAAATCTTTTAAGACTTAGATACACACTCCGAAATATTTTCGACATGTTTGGCCTTTGGAACAGAGTATGTTGCTAACAGTCCCAAGGACATTTTGACTTTTAGCCAAGAAACTGGCTACTTTTCTTTGGGGTCTTTTTGCCCTAACTGCCTAGCCAATTCCTACCTCCTATTCTTATCACGCCATCCTCTGAAGGTGTTACCCAAATTGCCAATAGGGAATAGGGACGCAGATCACTCTGGCTTCTTCCATGAGGAATAGGGACGCAGGGTGAGGCAATTGGAGTACCCCTTCAGTGGCTCTATCTAAAAGACTCACAAATTGCATAACTCTTGTCTCTAAGGGGAAAAGAAAGTCCTTGAATCATGAATAGGAGATGTGAAAGAGAAGTAAAGGCAAGAGTAATTAGCATTACAACTTCTAGACAGGGAACTAGAAAAAAAGTCAGAACAGGGCAATTTTCACATGTTCATATGAGAGTCCACTGGAATTTCTTGACAAGGGCTTCCAAAAGTATCCCTCTATTGGGTTCTTCCTCGTTTTTCTTTTGTCTTCCAAGGCTGGACCCTAGAGTGATGGATTCAGGATTTGATTTCAGGTATTTGATAGCTGTTGGAGTGGTTAGAATCAATGTCAGTTCCCTCTCAAAGGCTTCTAGATAGGGGGAGAAAACAAATTTATCCATCATTTTAGAACAACAGCTAGTTGTCTCCCTTAGCTACAGGTGGGCACTACAGTATTGGAGACCAAGATTTGAAGTCTTACATCTGAGCAGCACTTTCTGGTTAGGAACAAAATAATCAATGAGAAATAATTGTCTAAATAACTTTTCATATATATTTAAGCCTAATGTCTGGGAAGTGTAATCCCTTGAACTCCTTTTTAAAAAAATATACTGATTTTGTCATTTTTGGCCCAAATAAATCAATTTATTTTTACACTAAAGGTCATTTGAGGATCTGTTCCTCAGGGGTTACATTGGCTTGGGAGGAGCTCCTAGTTCCTTTCTTTTACCAGTTCCATCTATGTGAAGATAAGCCAAAGGTCCTAGAACAGTCAGTGTTCTTAACTGCTGAGCCATCTCTCCAGCCTCACATTTTGTTTTGTTTTGTTTTTCTTTAACCCTGTGAGAGCAGCTGACACTTTGTCCCTCAAGTTTTCAATTGGCATTTTCTACATTGGCTTGGGAGGAGCTCCTAGTTCCTTTCTTTTACCAGTTCCATCTATGTGAAGATAAGCCAAAGGTCCTAGAACAGTCAGTGTTCTTAACTGCTGAGCCATCTCTCCAGCCTCACATTTTGTTTTGTTTTGTTTTTCTTTAACCCTGTGAGAGCAGCTGACACTTTGTCCCTCAAGTTTTCAATTGGCATTTTCTAAATACAAAGCATTTCTCTTACTAACCATAGTTACAGTTCTCAAATTCAGTATTTAATATTGAAAGAACACTTTTATTTGAAATTTAATCCATATTTTTAAAGTTTATTTCTTCTTTTTTTTTCAGTCTTTTTGAAACAGGGTCTCCCTGTAGCCCCAGCTGGCCTGGAACTCACTATGTAGACCAGGCCGGCCTTGAACTCACAGAGATCTGTCTGCTTCTGCCTCCCAAGTGCTGGGACTACAGGTGTGAGCCACCACACCCAGCTTAAGGTTTATTTCTTAATGCTGTATACGTGTGTGTCTGTGTGGGGTATGTGGACACAGGTTCCCAAGAAGGCCAGAAGAGGGTGTCAGATCCCCTAGAGAAGTGTCCTTGGTGTAGAAAAAGTATTTGTCACCAGGGTGCTTTCTAAGGGGTCAGAAAAATCAGCACACAGCTTCTTCTATAAGATTTCCTCAAACCTGTGTATCTTCAGGATGACATAGAGCTCAGTGACAGAATGTACACTGAGTGTGCTCCCAGGGCTGCAGCCCCAGCACCACAAACAACATGTGAACCCTCGATTTAAGAGGCAGGAAAATTAAATAGGTACATGTCAGAACTTTGGGGGGGGGAAACAAATATTACCTAACTTCAGGATGCATACATCCAAGATCTACACATTTTGCCTAGTTGTCTACTGCTTTTTCCAAAGTACTTTTTGTTGAGAATAATGTTTTTTAAGAGTGTTCTTAATCTCTGCATAACATAAAACTGGATATATGCATTTTAGAAAAATCTCAACAGCAAGGATTTTTTTCCCCCATGGCTGGGGACTAATTTAGACCCTTGTACACAGGGCAAGCCCTCTACCAGGAGCTGCATCCTTGACCCTACTGAATCTTCATTGACTCCCACATAAAATTTTACCGTATAACCTCAAGGTTTTTTAATCAATTAATAATCTACTTTGTGCTGGGAATTAAATGCAATGCCTCACACAGATGAAGTATCCTGTCTGCCACAGAGTTACACCCCAAACGGAACCTCAGAATTTTTATAAGGCTTTGTGAAATGCCCAAGAATGTTTCCTTTTGCTTTAATGATACAAACTGCTTTGTTTTCATAGAGCCGTCTTCAAGAATACTGAAAACTGCCTTGCCCACTCTTCTCTCTTCTTCCCCTTCAGGACCCAAAACAGGCTCCATTCAGCCCAATGGTCAGATTCCCCAGGCTGCACCTTCTGTCAGTGCTGTTCTCCAAGAGGCCCAGAGACATGTCGGAACATCTAAGGTAAACCAGGGATCCACTCTTAGTCTATGAACCTCGCACCCATAAACATACCTTCTATGAGCAGACACTTGTAGTTCTTCTTTCTGAAAGAGCAAATACAGCTCCAACAACTGGGAAATTGCTATATTATAATTTCATTTAGGAAATTGTTTTATATTTTATCTTAAAGCTATCTAGGCTAAAATTGAAAAGTTAAAACCACTGATAATCATACTGCTCTGTGAGCATGTAATTATGTATGTTGACCACTGAAGTAGTTTAGCTGCATTTCTTTTGACGGAATAATTTTCTTCGTGTAGTGACTTTAGTGTTCTTAGCCCTTGTAATTTTCAGTAATTGTTTTCTGATTAAATTAGAGCATTTGAAAGTTAGTCAGAATTTTTTTCTGATTAAATTAGAGCATTTGAAAGTTAGTCAGAATCCCTATATGAAGTGCATTTCTTTTGACGGAATAATTTTCTTCATATAGTGACTTTAGTGTTCTTAGCCCTTGTAATTTTCAGTAATTTTTTTCTGATTAAATTAGAGCATTTGAAAGTTAGTCAGAATCCCTATATGAAGTGCCAGATAGGCCCCAAAACGAGATCAGAGACTACTAGGAGAATTCTACTATAAAATGTGCATTTTATATTTTCTTATTAATGATTTGCATGCATGCTCAGGGTGATGGAAAAGAAAACACATTCAAAAATAAAACAAGCTGGGCATAGTTGCACACGCCTTTAATCCCAGCACTTAGGAGGCAGTGGTAGGCAGACCTCTGTGAGATCAAGGCCAGCCAGGTCTAAGTAGTGAGTCCCAAGCCAGCTGTGGCTACAGGGAGACCTTGTCTCAAAAAAACTAAAACAAGGGGCTGGAAAGTGGGCTCAGTGGTTAAGAGCACCAGCTACTCTTGCAGAGGACCTAGGTTTGATTCCCAGCAACCACATGGGAGCTAACAACTGTCCTAACTCCAGCTCCAGGGAATCTTACACCCTCTTCTGACTCTTCGGGCATTGCACAACACAGGTGCACTTACATACACGCAGGAAAAACACTCATACACATAAAATAAAAATAAAATATTTTTAAATTAAAACAATAACAAAAAATAACAATAACCAAGAAGATGGAGAAATGGACCCATAGTTATGAGCACTTTCTGCCCTTGTAGAGGAATCGGGTTTGGTTCCCAGCACCCACATGGTGACTAACAACCTTCCTTAACTCAAGTTCCAGGGGATCTGATGCCCTCTTCTGGCTTCTGTGAGCACTGCATGCATGTGGTGCACTTACATTCATGCAGGCAAAATATTCATATACATAAAATAAAAATAAATAAATTTTAAAATAAATTTAAAAATTCTTTTAAACATGGCTGGCCCAGGCTGCTTCCCTGGGCCTGCACAACCCACCAGCCTCTCTCCTGATCCCCAGGAGCCTTTGGGGTCTCTTCCTACCCCCATCTCCCTTTGCATCTCTGGGTAGCACGGGCACCAGCTGCCCGAGACCAGCATTTTTCCTGGGACCTGCTCCCAGACCAGTCCAACCCCCAAATTCCTCAGGACAACATCTTTCCTGGAGGGATCCAGAACTTAGGAGAAAGGATAGGAGCATCTGATCCTCATCTGGCTTGGGCCTCTGTGGGAACTCCTGAGGACAAAAGCAATCTGGACACTCCAATATAAAATCAAAAGAGAGAACCAGAAGCTGAGATGAACCAGCTTTTCATGTGCAAAAAGTAAACTGCAAAGGCGCATAAAGTTTAAAAAAGAAGCAGACCTAAACTTGAAGGCTTGAGTCTCACACAAGAATGAGAAACTATAAAAGAAGTTCACATGTCAAAATCACAGAAAAATAATAACATGAAAAACCAAAATAAGATATCCCACCAAATATCAATAGTCCTCTAGAGGAGTACAATGAGAACCCCCTAGAGATAATGCAGGACATGGAACTCAAAAGAACAATTACAAACATGATAAAAGC